TCGTCTATAAAGAAGACGCTTCGTGGCCCTGGTGACGCTGACCATAGAAGGCCTTTATCGACAGAGTTAGCATAATAATCTAGAGGGAACGTCCCATGCATATTGGCCGCTTCAGAATGGCGGGGCATAGACGTTTAGATCTTTGGTTCTGATGGGGTCGTATTGCTGAAGGCGCTTTGATATACACAATAAGAAAGAAAACATTACTTTCAAGGTCTGCATCTACTTTTTCCTAGCTTTATTTGTTGAAAAACACCGGCGTCGCGCTTTGCATAAAATAAAATAAAGTGGACGAACACTCGAGCAGCTGCAACTCGTCGCGGCAAAACGAATATGCCTAAACTACTATCTGCTTTCTTTCTCCGCTATCTCGTCCCTTTCTTTATCGTTTCTTTTTTCTTTCGGGTCAATCAATGTTAGCGTTTGCGATTTGCCCCATTGTGCCCCCGTCTTCACCCCTCTGACTTTATTGTGCGGAGTGGGACGGCGGGGTGACGAGTTCAAGATACGTAGTACCCGGCCCCTTTCATCGGGCTTTTTAACGGGCGGAACGTTAACAAAAAGGGTTAGAAAATAAGAACTTAACTCAGATGGCTGATTTTGTTCCTGCAACTAGCATTTTGACAAGCCTTACGCGAAAAGTGCTATTTTAGCTCGCGACGTGGAAAAAGAGTTTTGTACTCCGACATGGTGTTGAACTATTGATATTCCGGATGATCAAGGCCTGCGTACATTCTCATAATAATCTATGGAACCTAACCAAAGTCGGATGGCTCCAACTCAAAAATAGAACCCTACCCCGATGCCCAGCGTCCTTCGTTGCCTTGATTGGACACGAGGTTCAGCCGAGCACTGACGCAACGCTCGTATCCAATCAATGTCTTCGCTTGATATGTGATGACGGCAAAATGCGCAGGCTTCGATTATCCTAAGTGGTGTTTGTTTAGAGCGCTTCTCTTAAAACAAAATGGCACGCCAAACTTCTTTTTTTGTGAACGTCACATTTGTTATTTGCATACTCCTTAACACCTGTTATACGTATATTTTTGAAACTTTTAGTACAAAGCAATAAATCGCCGCGTCAAATGAGTGATATTTTACGTCCTCCAATATAGGATGACATCTGTGACCCCATAGAATGCGAAATTTCCCGGACTCCTTCGTAGTGCCCTGCTTGGTACATTTGCTAAGAATATCACGAGCCCAAGTGCTACCGAACTTTTCATATGGCTTAGTATCTGATAACTTGACACCAATCGTCAGTTGAATAATGTTGCGGTTTACGTGCAGAACCGAATTGGACATCTACCACGTTTTAGTGAAAGACTGACGACTAAATATCACTACCCGGGGCTTGTTAACGGGCCATGAGAATCAAAGTGAAATTTATTTCCTCTTTTTAGAGCGCAGCTCTTAGGGGCCCGTTTCCGGCTTGAGCGGCGTCGGCGTCGCCGTCGCCGTTGGCGTAACCGCGCGGTGCATTATGGGTAAATTTCCCCGCTAAATCTAGCGGAAAAGTTTCCCCGCTAGATTTAGCGGAAAAATTTATCTGCTAAATCTAGTGTAAAAATTTTCCCCGCTAGATTTAGCGGAAAAAATTCCCCCCTAAATCTAGCGGAAAAATTTCCCCGCTGTCTAGCGGGAAAAATTCCCCGCTAAATGTAGCGGAAAAATTTTCCCGCTAAATCTAGCGGAAAATTTTCTCCGCTAAATCTAACGGAAAAATCTAGCGGGAAAAATTCCCCGCTAAATCTAGCGGAAAAATTTCCCCGCTAAATCTAGCAGAAAAATTTCCCCGCTAGATTTAGCAGAAAATTTCCCCGCTAAATCTAGCGGAAATTTCCCTCGCTAGATTTAGCAGAGAAAATTCCCCGCTAAGTCTAGCGGAAAAATTTTTCCCGCTAAATCTAGCGGAAAAATTTCCCCGCTACTAGCGGAAAACTTTCCCCGCCAGATTTAGCGGAAAATTTTTTCCGCAAAATCTAGCTAAAACATAGCCGGAAAAATTCCCCGCTAAATCTAGCGGAAAAATTTCCCCGCTAAATCTAGCGGAAAATATTCCCCGCTAAATCTAGCGGAAAGAATTCCCCGCTAAATCTAGCGGAAAATATTCCCCGCTAAATCTAGCGGAAAGAATTCCCCGCTAAATCTAGCGGAAAAATTTTCCCCGCTAGATTTAGCGGAAAAATTCCCCCGCTAAATCTAGCGGAAAATTTTCTACGCTATTTAGCGGAAAAAAATCCCCGCTAAATCTAGCGGAAAAATTTTCCCGCTAAATCTATCGGAAAAAGTTCTCCGCTAACTCTAGCGGAAAACTTTCTCCGCTAAATTTAGCGGAAAAATTTCTCCGCTACATCTAGCGGGAAAAATGCCCCGCTAAATCTAGCGGAAAAATTAACCCGCTAAATCTAGCGGAAAAATTTCGCCGCTAGATTTAGCGGAAAAAATTCAGCGCTAAATCTAGCGGAAAAATTGCCCCACTAGATTTAGCGGAAATAATTCCCCGCTAAATCTAGCGGAAAAATTTTTCTGGGGGGTCACGTGACCCCCCAAGGTCACATGAACCCCCCCGCCCCCCCCCCCCCCCCCCCCCCCCCGCCCCGAGAACAGGTAACCCTCAGTACCCTTCCCTCCTCCTCCTCAAGAGCTGCGCTCCAATTCGGTGTTACAGGGAGTTGTAAACGGCTTTCATTTTTTTTAACCCTTTTACACAACTTGTGTTCGTAAGATTGCGGATAATTCTGCCAGGATCAGAACCCGCCTTCGAAAATTCGCAAGTCGGAAATTTTCCTCCGTGCCTTTCGGACTAATATATACATTATCCCAATTTTAAGATCATATGCCGGTCATTTTAGGAAAAGCAATTGTTCTGTCTTCCCTTTATATAGCATTTGAAACGTTCATAAACTCTGACTCTAAGGTGTTCAGAGCGAAACGTTTCAGTAAACGACCACCGAAGCCGCACTGTATCACTCGAGCAATAAACGCACTGCTCACCAGCAAAGACATGCGCGTCTTCTTTTGCACAGAGCCCACGTGCAGCTGATAATCGCGTTCTAGCCAAGAAACGTAGAAAATACTGAAGGAGACGAAGTGACCCTTTGTGAAAACATTATTTGATTTTAAAGCAAGCTTCAGTGGATTGTCCTTTAAGGTGATATGAGGCGTCCCCATCAGTCGCCGGACCACACAAGTTTCCGGTTTTCGTCTGTATTTGTGCAAAGAAATACTACGTTTGAGGCTGATAGTTTTAACACGCCCTGAACAAGCAGCAAATCATGCAGTTGAATACACTGTATGGGTATTTTTATATTGCTCTGTGCCCTATTGGCAAGTTTATTGGCAAAGTCTCTCATGCTTTCACAACACTGCTCAAACACAGATTATGCAATGTCCTAACAAAACCCAATTTGAGGTGAGTGTGTAATATTCATTGGCACATCCTCATTATCGATTGCTTTACTTTAGTATTCGCCACTCCACAGGAGCTGCTCAGCGTAACAGACGAAGAAAGAAGCCTACTCAGATGTGTGAAAATTATGGCGCGATTTAACGGCCACAATCGATGAAAAATCCGTTCTTGAAATATTTTTCGACGCCCCAAGAACTCGTTCAGCTTCTTAAGGATGGTTTTGCCTCTAGTACTATCGGCCCCTGGCGCACAAAAAAAAAAGGCAAATTGGCGATAAAGAGCTCTCTCGTATCAAACAATTACTCTTAAAAAAAAAGACAAAAAAAACATACGTTTTTTTACGAAAGAATTTTTTTAGGGTGTGCTTAAATACCTTTTTCAACCTCTAAGAGTTTTTTCACAGCCAGATCTTTTTTAGAGTGTAATCATAAATCAGAGAAAAGCAAATTATATGCACTCCGCTGGAGTAGCGTCTTCACAGAAGATAACAACAGGGTTAAGCCATAGGATAATTCGAATAACCGCTGTTATCGTGCATTATATGGTTGTTTATTTTATAGATTGTAGCACAACACAATACTGAACTTGAGTTTGTAGTGCATTCCTGAGATCTCCGCATGATCTCTTCTTATAGCGTGGAGCATACGCTGAAATGAATACATCGATCTTTAAAAATCCATTATATATTTCGGAAGTAGCGCGGAGATCAAGATGCACAACATTATGCGAAAATATTTTGTGCTTTATCACCGTGAACATTCCGTTTCTCAAGCTAAGCGTCAGAATAATTCACGTTTTCGGAAGGAAGTGTGAGCCCGTGTTCCAGGTTACTGTACACTAACCTCGCGCCCACACGCATACGCAAGTTTAGACAATAATTATCATCATTGCAAATATATACGCCGCACTCTGTACACTCGATGCCCTTGAACGAACCCTCCGCAATGTTTGACGTTGTACGACCAAACGAGGGGCGTTTTTTGTTGTTCTTTTTTGTTCACAAGTATTCATAAAAGTTTGCACCTTTTTCCTGACGGTATTTTGCTATGTTGTGTTAATAATTATTATTCTTTGTTATTGCCATACGCATCGGCGGGCGAGCGCGCTCGTGGCCAAGTGGTTACCGCGCTTGACTTTCGTGCGGAGGCCCAGGGTTCGATTCCGTTACACGTCTTTTGTTTATTTCAGTTTAATGTTCTGGTAAATTTAAGAACTATGTCGCTTGTTCGATGTCCGAATGTTGTAGTCGCCGAACCTTCTAGGCCGACTGTTCCAGAAGCCAACGCGTGTGCATGAAGGGCTCCCGCGTGGCGATCCGCAGTCAGTCTCGCCCCAGCGTTCGATCCAACTGTTTCGCCGACATCAACGCCTGCAACTCTAAAGCCTCTTTCTTTTTTGTTTTGGGCACAAGTTCGCACAATTAAATGTTCAGTTCCTTCAGTTATTCGCCGCCTCAAAATTTGTTATTCGTGGCAATATTTACTATCAGATAACCCAATAGTACAGTGCTTCATACTATTTATACATTATGCTTGTTGGGCCTATAATTAAGTTCACTGAATTCAAGAGTATTTTTCTAGTGACTTACTTTTTTGGCGGCTTCCTTCTTCGTGGTGTAATCCATCCAGTTATTTTGCTGCAGAAGAGCGCTGAAGGCCTCTTTCAGGTCTTTCACCATCGACACCATCTGAGTCCGCACCATAAAAAAAGGAACCCATCGTGTGTAGACCCAGCAGAAACATGCGCATTTTTAAGGTGCTTTTTTATGTTACGTCAATTCAGTTCCTCTTTATACTTAGCGGGGAATCGGATTTGATGTAAATGTCGCGCAAAGTCAACATTCCCGCTAACGTTAGCAAAGAAATTGAATTTACCTTCGGTTGCAAGACGTGAATTTTCCCGATAAATTTAGCGGGCAAACTGAATTGGCGTACGGCCACGCAACATTCATTTTCCGACTAGGTGTACAGGTCACGTGACGTTAGATCTCGTGACATTAATTTCTCCGCTGAATGTAGCAGATAATGCACGGACGGCAAACGACCGACGGGCGGAAAATATTTTTTGATTGAGGTGTTGCGGTAAAAGTAATTTATGCTTTGTTAAAATTTCCCTAATGAGAAAATAAGGAGCAGTGTTATGCTCTGCGCCCCGGGGCTAGAACATTACAGGAGAAGAAAATAAACCAAACGAACAAATTCGCTGCTTCAGGCAAATTTCCCACCATGTCCGGTCGTGTCCTTGTGTGTCTGGTCCAGAGATGCACCACCAAGTGTTCCGACACGAGAGGTTCTGAATGTTAAGGGGTCTCCAAACCAAAACGGGAAAGCAGGAAGAGTGCGCTTGTTCCTGTTCTTCATCGTTTTCATCGCCATCTTCCTTCCTTGTCGCAGTGTTATAGTTCATCATGTTTAATGCTTCCACCTCGATTTGGATATGATTTTTTTTTTTCGGAACAAGACAGAGACATCGGGGAGAAAGGGTTCGCGTACTTCGAGCAAGTCGTCAGAAAGATGTCACTCATGACCGACCAATCAGAATGTCTCTGTCCACCCACTCCTTCGCATATGTCTCCTCTCTTGGCCTCTTTTTCTTTGATCGGTTCGAAGTTCCTGTATACTGATGGGCGCCTCCTTTGCCTGCATTCCTCCTGCGAATGCACCACTCGTCGAGATGGCATCCTCTGTGATTACAGCCGAAGCATTTACCTCGTCTCAACTTCTCTTGTCCTGGTGATTGGTTGCGCCCTGTGGTTTCGTCAAGCACGCATTGCAAGGATCCACCCGGGTGCCCCCTCTTTAAAAAAAAAACGGGACGTAGCGGAACATGTCGAAAAAACTCTCCGCTAAAAGTGCACGCTCCCCGCTTTCCGTTCTTGGTTTCGAGACCCCTTTACTGTACCACAGATTTAAAGGTCTACCGAAAAGAAAGGAGCACAGAGCTATTTTCCCCAGACTTAAAGATTATAAAACAATTGGTCGTGTCTGTTTCGTCAGGTAGACAAAGCATAAATCATGCAATTACGGTAAACATGCTGAAAAGGGTCATCAATTAAACCAGTAAACAAAACTTATGAGACGAGAAAACTTGGATGCATTGTTTCAGAACCTAATTATCAAAACATAACTTCAAACAATAAAACGTATGAGACAAGAAAGCTTTGATGCCGAGTTTCGAAATTTAATTTGTGTCTTTCCGGGGGTAAATATTTTTGTATTCTGGCGTTCCAGAACTTTCTGGCGTTTAGCATTTATTTGACTGTGACGTTATGTTCTTTCGTAGCGTAAGCAACAATGTAAGAGGTATCTACGGCCCTAGAGAGCGTAGGTCTGGAATATGAGTTACAGAAGGTCCAACTCACGTCTTCCTTGGCCTGGGGGCTGAACTCGTTATCGATGTAGAGGCGGCCCACGGGGTGGTCCATGACGGCGCTGAGGATGCCGATGCAGCGCTGCCACACGGGCAGAGACTTCCTCACACCCTGCACGACGCGCCCGAACTCGAACTCCAGGTCACGCATGCGCCCCGAGGCCAGGGGCCCGAAACCTTGAACGAGTCGCCAGCCCACGTAGTTGTACAACGTCGACCTGAGGTAGAGCCCGAGGCGCATTGAGAAGGAAGGGCGTTTTCGAGCCGTCACTAACACATCCCTGCTCGTGCATCATCCGATTCTTGGAGCATAAGTATTGAAGATTGCATAAAATTAAGCATAGATTATTGAGCTCACTAGTGGCGCAGCGCTAATACAAACTGCAAGGTGCCCCTAAAAATTTAGTGTTGTCTTTTAAGAGTTTCATTTGCAAAAAAAAAATATATCAACTAATCATGCATTCCCGAATGCTAATTCTTTGTTTTGTATCGCTAGAAGTCCGAAGGAGATGCCAAGGCTTGAGCACAAACCGTTATTTTATTAAAATGTTATATGAATTTTTAAAAAAATTGAGTGGGAAAATTGGGCCCATTTTTGCCAGTTTTCGGTAACTCTCGCCAAATGTCTTCTTGTCTTCGAGAGCTCTGTCGGCCACCATTTTCCCACTGAAAGTTGTAAAAAATCACTTACAACTTTTGAATTCTACCACTAAACCTTCCGGGGACAATTTGAGGGCGGGATTTTCGGACCTTAGTCCGCGTTTATACCTTATTCTCCGGTCTTGCCAACCCTGACTCGTCTATACGAGTCATAACAAGTGACCCGTCTGACTGTTGGAGTTTGTGTTGAATCGAAGATTATATAAAATTTAATTATAGCCAATCACAACTGTAAAAAAAATAGAATTTTTTTTTTTTTTTGTAATTTGGTATTTGACGTTAAGAATAAGCACTTCAAGTTCACACAAAAGAGAACAACAATCAGGTTCTGCAAGGCCTGGTCTCAACACAAAACTAAGTTACTCATGAAGCTCAAATTTATATTTATCTTCAATGAGAGTATGTATTTGCAACTTCCTTGCTTCAAGACACTAGTCACCCGAGCATTCTAGGGATCTATGACTCCTCTGCCCCTCCCCTCATCCCCCGTCCGTCTACTGAACGTGTTACGGCAATCCGATGTACATCACGTCAAGGTGTACCCACGAAAAGAGGCTTATGTTGGCTTAAAATATTTTTTCTGAACAAAAGAAGGCATAAACGAAACCTCAATAGTGTAAGGATCCTGTTTTAGGCCAGCTTATTGTTCTTTGTTTTGTTAACTAACAAAAATAACAGAGAATAATGTGCGCAGCTTTATACGAGGTGTTCGAGACGGCCTGCGAATACATAGGAGCGGACACAGAACTCCCCGCTCTAAGAGGTGCAGTCTGGGATCACCACGAGCTGTTCTGCGATTTTACGGAAAGGTCCATTCATTTCACTCTACCACAAGCTTGAATTATCGAGAGAACAAATACCGTACATAAATTTTCTTGATGCCGAAAGCTCACTTTCAAGCGAGATGAAAAATATTCGCATACACACAAAGCTGCTTATACTTTTCGTGAAGTGGTTACTATGTAAAATTGCAAGACTAAACTTTATTGCCGTAAAAATAAAAAAAACAAACAAACAACAACAATAACATCATCGGTGTCATTTTTAATGACAAGTGTCCACGCAGACAACCGTGCCGCCTCCAGAGTCGTGTTTGGATCTGCCATCAAGAGATGGCGCAACATGCCGCAATTAAAAGAAACATATTAGTGAGCGGCGGGCTGGGGGTCGGGGGGGGGGGGGGGGGGGGGAATGTTACATTCAGCACAATCAAAGGGACAGGTAAATTTGCCCGAAAGTGAATTATTAACAAACATGTTAATGCCGGAATTGAAAGAAATAAAGGAAAAGGCAAATCTGCAAACTGACCGTGAATGTTGCGCATGCCTCGTCCGTTCCAACTGACCTATGGAGCCATCTGTTTATTCCAGCTCCCAACATAAATCGGTGTGACCCAGCCGTTCGCGTGCGTCGGCGTCCGTCGTCAAAATACTCAAGAATCTTTTTTTTTTTTTTTCTTCACAGGGTTGGGGCCTCTTTCCTAAATATCACGAGGCAAAACGCTCCACCAAAGAACACATTCGATGAAATTTTGAGCGCACTACCTGCAGATGTGCATTCACTAGGCTCATTGTACAGTCAGCCTTGGGATTCAACCAACCCTACACGTGCAAGGAAAGCGAATAACGAGGGGCAACACAACCGCAATAACGTCAAATAAAAGTGCCCTTATTTAGACATTACACAATATTTCTCTAAGAACATTAAGGGTACCTTTTTGAATTTCGTTTACTCTCTCAGTACTAACAAGGTATCAATTGTAATAGTGGTAAAGCTAGTAATAGCATTTTACCCATAAAGTCTGACGACTTTTTATGTATATCGAACTCTATAGCAGCACCTCGGAGTTTGTAGTGCCGCCATTGCAATTTGATACATTCGGTGGCAGGGCCATGGTTTCCAGCTTTAAGAAAAACTCAGAATTTAATTAGAAATACTTAGATTAGCCAATAACTAAAACAAAATTTTGTATTCAGCTATATACAAATTCATTATAATAATGACAGAATGTTTAGAATATTTTGTGAATTCCTAAGGTAGGATTTTTTTTTTATTTTCATTCAACGAGTAAACTGCTTTCTTCTACCTCATATGTAAAATTCACGCGCGCTCGGCACCTCCAATTTTATTGAGAAAGGCACCTATAACATTACACACGAGAACACTTATCGTTTGGGAATTGCTAATCCGCTTACACAACGCGATGTAGAACAGATGACACATTACAACGTGGGTTAAGCAAGCAGAGGCGTGAGATGGTACTACATTTTTCAAACTACAATATTAAAAAAAAAAGTTCTGTCATAATTTTAAATTTATTAACCACGAGCATATTTGTGGAGAATATCCTGATATCGGGAAAAGGGGAGTGGGGATTGTTGAACAAACAACCGATTACGGAGGCTCCCCAATAATTTTGGAATCCTAGCAGCGGCTGAAAGCTGAAACTTTTACTCGCCTTCTGACAGACTTCAGGAACTGAAGAACAGATGAGTAGAATTGGGGTTCTCTGAGCACGATCTCTTCGTCTTCGGTCAGCGTCATGTTGATAACATCGAAGATATTGTTGAATAACCGCAACCAGTCCAGCTGAAAATTGGACGTCCGTTATCAGATATTGTTATACGATTTATGTTTTACATCTAAGGTGCGGGGTACGACTGGCCTATTTTATTAGAAATTAAAAATCGTCACGTCGGTGAAAATATAGAACACGTCATACATTTTCGCTGTGCCGGCGCGTCTATTCGTACAGCCAGCAAAAGAAACAAACAGAACACGCTAAGTTATTTGTCTTAATAGTCTAACGCAACCTAAAGGACAGTCTGTACCAGTCGCTCGGACTCTGTACGTTTTCCTGTAAAATATAATAGCAAATACTAGCGGTATCGCACCAAGAGGGTGGAGTCTAATTGCATACTCGACGCCTTTTGCTCCATCTTCCAAGAAATTTGTCTCACGAATACTTTTTTTTCCCACGCCCAACATTAAAAGTTGATTTTTCTAAATATATATTTTGACCTGTCTGTACGCTGGGAGCAAGTACGGTTTTTCCCACACAGGAAATTTTCGCTGAGTGAACTAGGAGGAGCAGAACTCTAGAGCAGGGCGCCTCTTGCAGATGACAGTGCACATCGATATGTGGCGATGATTCCGTAACGCAATTCACTAAAAACGACTGATAGACACGCAAAACATTAAGTGAGGAAAGATTCGCCACAAACGAAAGGCGGTTAAATTCTTATCCCTAGAAAAAAGCGTTCGTTGACGAAAGCTTCGAAGCTATAACCCTAATTACTAAAGTCCTAACGAACAGTACGTAAGTGAGCTGCCGTATACTGAACATTTTGAAGCAACCTGGGACTGAGGAATACGAAAGTTGACACCAAATGAAGAGAACGAGTACGTGTCATATAGACTTTCTCAATTCGACGTCTACCGGTCCTCCTTTTCTAGGCTAGAAATAGTCCACTGAAATAAATACGTTTCAGAAGACCATTACAGACCCTCAAAATTTGTTTGAGTTCCACTTTGTTATAACCAGAGACAGTAAAAAATCCAGGTCTCAAATGCAAGTAGAAATTGAAAGGGCAAAACTCTTGCCCGAAAACGTCAATGCTAAAATTAAAACGCGTACATCGCTTGTGCGAACACCTTTTAACAAATTATTTTTTCTAAGGAATGCTGCAATGTCCTGAGACGTGATGAATGCGCAAAACAACGTTTTTTTAGCTGTCTACACATCCCCCTTAGTTATTGGAAAGTGTATTACTGTAGCTGACTACGACACACATATACAGAGAGTCTACGTCATCTGGTAATCAAAACGTACAGATACCAAGGAGTCTAGACTCACTGTCGCTCCACAGTACACAAATAATATTTAGATCATGAGAGGCATTTCATGTAGAGCTTCTTCATGCAGAAATGCACTCCCTCACAAACGTCTCAGCATAACTTCATGCGAAAATGTCAAACGTTCGGTATGAGCGGCGTTAAACCTGCTGTAAAAACATAGTTATTCGCCGCAGAAAAAATGCAATCCTTCGAAGTGACCTAACTTCAATTTTAACGAAGCCTTAGTGCTCGCCTAATTTTATTGGCCTTTATACGCCTCCGAGTAGTCAGTTAATGAACTGGATAGTGTTTTGCGACACAATTAGTTCAAATGTGTTCATTTAATAACAGTCCGTGGCTCTAGGAATGGACAATATTTTTTATTCAACGTATTTATCAACCTAATTTTTATTCATTTCTATTTTATTTCGTCCAGTAATACACATTTTTCATACACCCTACAGCAACTCAGACATGTGTGTGCCCACTTAAGAAAATCGTTGAAATATTTAGCTTTATCATTTAAGCGAAAACAGCAAATATTCACTAATTCAAGTGTTTCTATGGCGTCACCAGTTGTAGTTGCTTTTTTTTTTCAATTCAATCATTTTTTTCGTTGTTTCAAGTTATCTTTGCTTTATTCATGTTTTGCCTCATTGTATCGGATTGAATGGAAGACGCGCTTCGGCTATAATCATGTATTGGTTTTCACGGTCATGCTCTTCACTTTGTTGGCAACCGCGTGAAAGTCATGTTCAGGTTGCATCCAGAATGGGTTTTGGTGACCCCCGCCTGCTGGCTGTAAGCGCACCAACTGCGCCCCTCGGAATGCTGGCCAACCTGTGGGCACGTGACTTGATACATGTCACGGATTACGGAAGCGTCCAGAAAAGCGCTTTAAACGTCCCTCTGGAGTACCACCGGGCTGGCCGAATACCCCCAAAAGACAACGCCTCCGCACGACGTCGTCGTCAGTGGAACCCCGGCACGCACCCAAGCGGCAAACACGCTAAAACTCACTCACCTCCGGGTAGTCTAGCATCAGCCTCGCCATCGTCATGCGGTGGTACAATGAGTTCATGTTGCGCCGCTCCTCTGGAGAACGCGTCATCTGCGAGCACCGAGAACGCTGTTAGTCAGTGAGTGCGGCAGTATGTTTTAAACCACACCGTAAACATGTTTGACCGTCCCATTGATACATGCACATGCACAAAACAATATAGTGAGAAAAAAAAAAAAAAAAAACTTTACCCGAAGAGTCGACCCGAGATCTCCGATATTTTGAGCTCGTTGCACAACCGCTTTATAACCAAGGAGATCCTTGTGTCGATTGTAATTTTTTTTTTACATAAAGAACGCCTAAACTCGAATTCGCGTAATCGCCTTTGACTCTTACTGAATTGTCACGGCGGTTTGTGAGTGCTTATGACGAGAGGAAGTGTCACAATGGCGTCAACTTACAGAGAGCTCTGATCAGAGTATAAGAATAGTCGGTGACAGGTTAAGGGTTCACCGGACGGTGCTCCCACCTCTTCTCCCTTTAGCGGAGCGATCGCTATACAGCAGGCGACATTCTTTCCCACATTTGCTCTGCTAAAGTGGAAAGAGGTGAGAATAGGTTTCCTTGAACTTTCAACGTGTCACTGACTACAGAGTGAAGGATATACAGTATGTGTTAAAATATGTCTATGCGCTTTTTATGAGAAATGGTCGCCTATGACATTAACAGAACTAATTCGATACCCTGGTGAGAGAATGATGCGTAAAAATCAGTAATATACGCAGTGTAATCAGTCTGCACCAAAATCCGTTTTGCAGCGGGGAAGCCGTCCCTAGGAGGCGTTACAGGCGCGATTTAAAAAGCCAGCAAGGACTATCGATAACATGACATGAATGGCGTCATGCTACCACACGCGCTCGGATCTGCTGGATCTGATCTCTGATGCTGCTCTGAAAGAAACTTTGGAGTTCTTGTGCCATGTGCTGCCATCTGTGAATGGCAGCATCAGCCAGCCGTTTCTTTCAAAGCGCAGCTCTTAGGCGCCCGTTTCCGTATTGAGCGGCGTCGCCGTCGGCGTAACCGTCCCGCTAAATTTAGCGGTAAATTGAATTGGTGTTAAGGTCACCTGATGTCGATTTTACCGCTAAATCTAGCGGAGAAACTGAATTTGTTCATGTTTGAAGTGGCACGAAGTAATGTGACATCATTTTTTCGCTGAATTTAGCGAAGAAAATTAATTGGTTGGTGTTGAGATCAAGTGACGTCAATTTTCACGCTAAATTTAGCGGGAAACTTAACCCGCTAAATTTAGCGGGGAAATAGTCCCGCTAAATTTAGCGGGCAAATTTTCCCGCTATATCTAGCGGGAAACTTAACCCGCTAAATTTAGCGGGGAAATAGTCCCGCTAAATTTAGCGGGCAAATTTTCCCGCTAAATCTAGCGGAAACATTTTTTTGCAAAATGTAGCGGGGAAATTTTCACTAAACTTAGAGGAAAATTTAACGGGAGGAGGAGAGGAGGAAGAAAGGCGAAAATGGGAGGGAAGGAGAAGGAGAAAGAGGAGGAGGAGCATTTCCTCCCCTCCGTATCCTCAAGAGCTGCGCTCTAGTTTCACATTACATAGATTTGTAAACGTCCTTCATATTTTTTTTCTCTGTATATAAAAATAGAACCTTTTTTCCTTATTTGCGTTTTTTTCTTTTTCCTAGAAACCTACACTATCCAATAGTGAATATGCTAAATGCTTTCCCTAGAGGACACCTTTCTAATTTCCGTGTTTTCAAAATAAGGTCGAAAGAAAAATACTCGAGCTATAGAGCGTGTGACTAGAATGGAAGTGGGGCCACCTTTGCCAGCTGGGACTCGAAGTTTACGATGTCGTCGACCACGGCCTCCCTCTCGCCGGCGCCCATCTGGGGCTGGAAGAGGCGGATGCTGTCGGACGCGTACGTCTTGTACGCTCGCACAATGGGCGCGTTGTTGGCGCTCGTCTGATTCAGCAGCTGGTTGCGACCGATGCCGAAGCCCGGCTGATCCAACTGGAGGCGCCAAGGTAGATCCATTAGCCCCACACACAAATGCGGACATGAAACGGACACAAGCGATTGAAAAAAAGGAATCGCCACAAGAAAGATTACGCGCAAATATCGCAAGCAGATTGGCAGAAGAGAAGCGGCAATTGAATTTTTACAATATGCTGTTAAGGTATATCATGAGTACTACAAGGAAAGAAACACATGGCGTAACTTTGCTTGACAAGTAAAAGAAGAGCGTCGAACTACAACGGGACATTGAGCCTTATAGGCGCGCTTTTTTTGATGAGGAACTACCCAGACGAGCATTTTTTATTAAATTATAATTGACACTGCCGGTACGAATATCCCGATCTCGACTTTGTGATTAGCAGACCAGTCACTAAGCTGTCCGCTTGTCATGCGGTTGATGCCTGTCGTCTTGTCAAACTACAAGCCTGGCATAAACCGGTCATTGATTCCAGGACGCAGTGGCTATTCTCGAAGTGACGCTTATTTTCGTCTATTGATAGAGTTTTACGTACATCCTCTTTCACGCGGACGTTACCATGGTAGAAAAGACAACACAGATTGAGCTCTGGAGCTAATTTGCAGCAATGCGCTGCAAATTAGAGTGAGTTAAGCATGCAGGGTGGGTGCATGGAAGAGAGCGGCTTCATAAGTATGCTCAAACCCCCTAGTGGGTAGTCGCTCCAAGTTTGCCTATTTTGTTTCTCGCTTTTAACATGTCAAAAAATATAGAAATTACAATTGCTATCTTTCATCTGCTGAGTTTGATCATTTCTGACAAATCCTGAGCTTCTCCTTTAAATTTTCAACGGACATTTTTTTTAAAATATTGTCAGATTAACGGGACTCAAAGAGAATGCGTACGCATTTAAAAACTCATAACATATCTGAAACTAAAAGTGGGGAGGGGGAAAATTTTGAGGATCGCGAACCGGTGTCTTACGCTGATGATGAAGTACGTTGCGTTCTTGAGGTCCTGGACAACGCTAGCCGAGATGATGAAACTCAGGCCCGTCTTGCGGAAGACGCGTGCAAAGGTTTCTTCCCAGGGAGGGGCCGAGTCCCACGCGACCGGCATGGGCCACTTGCTGAAACCCATGCTGCTCAGGAACTCTTTTAGGGAGTCGAACTTGAGCTCCTCGCTAATAGCTGTGGATAGAAGGCGGCAAAGTGTTGCAAGCGGACGCCAGAACACAGGGAACAGCTCCGTTCAAACTACTGTTGTAAGGCACTGTGTGAATCTTGTAGAGATTCAGCGAAGAATGGCACTGTATAAGAATTGCTACTACACCTTCGAAACTAGTGATTACCTGAATGTGTTGATCTAAACCTAACCTATCGTAATAGTTAAGTCACAAGTAGCATTTAGCTACGAGGTGATAACTACAGGAATCTATTTTTTCGGTAATTATTGTTCGTTAAAATTGGCAGGAAATTATCGCCATGAATTTGTTTTACCCTTTAAATTGGTATTTATTTTATAAACAGTATGGTTCAAGACTGATCGGCACTTTTCGTCTGGAAGCATGCTATTTCGCGTGTATTAAACTATAGAATAAGAGTAGCGTGGATAGATGTATATTTTGCAAAAACGGTATTTTTGCACAAATCTATAACAAATTCAAAACAAAAATTCATAAATCGTATGGCACGAGCTTGTTGTATTACGGACAACGTACCTCCGCACACGATGTGAAATAAAGTGCCCAATCCGGGCTTTTTCTATGTCTGCGGTCCACGCAAGCTTTCTTATTTCTCGATTTTTCAGAAAGCTTGAAGTGTGGGACCTCAACTTGCATTCACTTTACAGATCGGACCACAGCCCTTGTAGAAACTAGAACGTATGCCAAAGAAGCATAACGGACTTTTTCGACTCATACTGTCTGCGACAGTACATAACCATGATAAGACAAACGGTAGCGATCTTTTCTGTTGAGCACCTACGTCTGGTGGCAACTACGTTCAGTTTTAGAGCTGGACACGGGAAGCGACAGTAGCTTGAGCGCTACATTAGAAAGAGAGGGCCAGCCACGACGATCACATTTTCCAGGGTGGAGTGACTCTGGACAGGCGTTACGTTTGTGCTCCAAAAAGTATTTACAAACACCGCGCACCGTTTCCCCCTGATTGATGACCGTGCAAAATAGTGCACTATATATAGGGGCTGTTTTCTCTTCTTTATTTTTCTAGGCTGCAAAGATTTTATTTGAAAAGGTTGGGAAGGCTATACTGATGTGGTTCGAGCAGCTGGATTATACGGCCAGGGGGGACATAAATCTGGGAAATAATCGTCACGATTAGTTTATTAATTAGATAAAATTGCTTTATGTGTATATCCTTTTTTCTTTAATTCAAAGTCCATGGGAAGAGGGGTTGTGCTCTGGTGCGAAAAAGCGCCCGCAAGGCTATTTCGTCTCTTATCATCCTCCTTTTCACAGCGCTTGCATTCTGCCTGTTTCATGAGTGGTAACTTTAGCGCACTACCTCGCAGCCCATACTCCCTCCAAGTTTTCTGAAATTTTATGATTTAGTGATTTTTGATGATGCCGAGCAATTTCCTAATTAGAACAATATGTTTATTTTCACTCATTAAAAATAAATGAGCGTAATTTACATATTTATCCGACTTAGCGCGACAATTATACCATATAGTGTGTCCCCGTGGTCAATGAACCTACCTGCAGAAACCGCATTAGTGTCGCTAACTTAATTTTTAAAGAAATACATAAAGCGTAAAGTATTTCCTGTCTGCTAAAGTTATCTGAGAGTAATCTTAGATCGCACTTTCAGTGCGGTCTAAGAATACAAGCGGCCAGCCAAAAATACAGCGGATTATTATAATGCAATTAAATGCAAAGGTGCAAGCGAGCTGGACAGTAATCATCGCTGAGACGTCTTTCCAAAGACTGGTTTGACCCGGTACCACTATGTCTCATTCTAAGATGGTGTGGAAAAGGGAAAGCGCAAAAGCTGGATTTAGAATTTTGAAATTTTCGAGCTATTCCAACTTCCTAAAACTAAGGTCGGCAAATCGGCGGGCATTTATTGGCATTTATTGATACACACAGAGGGCGCCGAACAATTTATATAACATTCTTCACGCATCACTTTCCTGTCTCGCGAATATGTAACAGCAGCTTGGGCGTAGCCAGTAAGTAGCTTCGGGGGTGTCTTAAGGTGCGGGTGGTAGCACACACAATAATATATATATATATATATATAAAGCAAAATTTTGGGGGGTGTTCTCATACGGAAACACCCCCCCCCCCTTCCTTTCCTACGCGCCTGAACACCAGCATGGATTCAAGAAGCGTGCTTAGCCACAAAGCGTGAAGTTGGACTAGTCGGTTGAATATGATATCAGTGAAGAAAACAGCGCGAAGTAACGGAAGGCAAGATGAAGTACAGTCGGGGACAAAAGTCCCCAGGACGCGCGAGCTGCGACTGAAACGCATTTCTCTACCATCTGCCGGCGGGTCGCCTGGTTTCGAGATCACACAAAAGCACATGCGCGTCCTACTGTGCCTGCAAACATGTCTGTTTTCCCGCTTTCCTGCGGCGCGGCGCCTAACTCGGAATTGGGCGCGTGGTACCGCCTCGGAAAGAACGCTTGCGGGTGACGAGCGTCTGCTACGCATTCCGGACCTGGAGATACCGCCTGCGGCATTGTGTTGCATTTCGCCATGTCAGCGCACCTTGCTTTATAATCAGTTGAGTTTATCGCTCACTTGAGCTGCCTTGAGTTCTTGCTTTATACGATTGCAAGCTGGGCGACTGGCCGCCGCCATGTCTCTGCTCGAGCAGGCACGCCCGTGCGATTACGAGCTTGCCAAAGCTACGTTCACCCGCGCATTGCACGCGCTTGCACGCATGGGGCACCACTTGTGGCGCCATGCTTGCAACTGTCTATAGGTGCCATGTCAGTAAGCGCTATCTCCGAGGCGGTACCACGCGCCCGATCCCGAGCTAGGCGGCGCGCCGCAGGAGAGCGGGAAAACACACATGTTTGCAGGCACAGTAGGACGCGCATGCGGTTTTCTGTGATCTCGAAACCAGGCGACCCACCGGCAGATGGCAGAGCAATGCGTTTCAGTTACAGCTCGCGCGTCCTGGGGACTTTTGTCCCCGACTGTACATACGCACCGCGCTATTTGACAACCAAAACGCTCACTTCTGCATGATACAGCAAGGAAAAACTATACTCGAAAACGATGGAAACAAAAAATGGGTGCTGGCGACACGCTGATTTTCGAAGAAATGCGTGAACATTTCGCGTAGCGGGTTTATATTGACACGAATGAGGGCGACGAGACGATGCATAATGAACTAAAAATAAAGATTTAGTAGGCGAACCTCTGCCAGAAACGAAAATGGAAGGACAGGCTTCGATAAAGCAACAGCCCGCGTCGACGGCGGCAGCAGCGAGCGACGGTGGGTCGGCGTGGCGGCTAGCTATCGCGAGAGTGAATCAGTGAATTATCCGCATTACCACGCTCGGATCTTTATCTACCGCACTCGTCATCTCAAACGTTCGACCTAGAATGTTCGGGAGTGAGCTGGGGTGACACTGACTAGTCAAGATCATTCTGGCCTCCTTATCTTTTACGCTTGGGGTAAGAATTAACACGTCCTTTCTAGATGTACCGAGAAGCGTTTCCTCTCGGTCATGCACGCAGAAATATAACAAAGCATGGTCAATGTTCACCATGCTTTGCTGGTGAATGTTCACCCATGCGGAATTGTTGGTGAATGTTCACCCCATGATGAATGTTCACCCCGTGGAAAGGTGCTCTTCGAGCAGATTTCGCGGGGTCAACACACCATAAACCCTTTTTCTCCCAGTGCGAGGAGCACAGGTCACTCACTTTCCATGCGCATAAAACACGGCGGCCGCACAGGATTGGTTGTTTATCCCCGCCGTCCCCACTGCGCGGCACCGAAATTTGCGAAGGGGGACTTCGCCGGCGATTTTCGGTTGCTAGGTGTTACGTCACGGCTTCGCTTTCTATAAGCAGCCAATTCTGTGTGGCCTCCATCGATATGCGCCCCATCGCCAAACCTCTCGATTGATGGATGGATGGATGGGTGGGCCAACTTGCCAGTGTTTTTGTTTTTTCCTAACATTTATTCGACAACAATATACCTAAAGATTTATTTTTCAGAGCTAAGATCCGTGCAACGGAGGCCCTTGTATGCAGTCGGGTGAGCACACCTTCCACCCTACGTGTCGCCCGGAAAGGAATAAGAAAATATTCATCGTTTCCTCGTCCTATGGCACCAGTCAGGTAATCTGTTCTTGGTTACCTCCACCTCCCCCCTGACTGTTTAACCCCTCACTATCGCGAAATCCCAGTGTGTTTGTTAAATTAGTAGCCTAGTCAGCTGCTACACGGTAAATCCCCTTACAGTGAAGTATCAAGTACTCAGCCGTCTCCTCTTCCTCTCCATAAGCTCCCTTCGCCGTATCTACTTTCTAATATCTAGCTCTATATGTCTTAGTTTGCAACACTATCGTTCTCGCCACCAATACACCCCGCCGCCATCTGTCGGCGCTTGCGGCAGATATTTCCTAGCCAGTTTCCACGGCAAGTGGGGGCTGAGGCGCCATCCCGTGGCGACGTTGCGAACTTTATATACCTGTGCCCCAAACAAGTCCAAGGTAAGGGCATGTACCAGGGCACGCATTCAGAAAGACTCGTCAATTTCTCTGGCCGTCTCATTCCTGTGCGGCGCTAAAATCTATATCGCTTCAAACAAAGGAGAAACACAACACACACATCTGTCAAGGTGGACCGCGCCTTGTCTGGACCACCTTGCGACCCCGTCGGTGTCTTTAGTCTGTCAGGCGGCCTTGCAGTTAACGACCTAGCTATTTTACTTTGTTTCGCGCTTTATAGTCACTTAGTGAGCACGAATTGTTTAGAACAACACGCCTTTTTTAGAGCGCAGCTCTTAGGCGCCCGTTTCCGGCTTGAGCGGCGTCGGCGTCGCAGTCGGCGTAACCGCGCGGTGCATTATGGGAAATATACCATAATGCACCGCGCGAGCCCCCCCCCCCCCCCCCCCCCCCCCGCCCCCCCGAAGTCACGTGACCCCCCAGGTCACGCGACCCCCCCGGAGGACATTGAAGAATGAGGGGAGGAGGAGGA